ATTAAACCCCTATCTCTCACCCTACACAAAAATTAACTCAAAGTGAATCAAATACTAGAGACCCTGTGCCTAATAGAAGAAAAAATAGGCCCCCATTTCACCACGTCAGCCTAGGATCTGACTTTCTTAACAGGGACTCCTAAAGTGCGAGAAGTAAAATCAAGAATCAATAAATGGGATGGATTCAAATTAAAAAGCTTCCTCTCTGTAACTGATGTGATTCTTCAAGCTGTATACGGGGTAAAATGGGAGTTCATAACCCGCTTGAATCAAAATGTGAAATATGATATATCAAGAACTATGTAATGTTTTGAACAACCAACATTAAAATAAATAAATAAATAAAAAGCTTCCTCTCATCAAAGGAAATAATAACTTGAGGAGAGAGGCTACACCTCTGATAAAGCATTAATCTCTAGGATATATAGCAAACTCAAAAAACTTAACACCAAAAAAATGAATAACCCARTCAATAAATGGGCTAAGGAACTGAACAGACACTTCACAGACGAAGAAACACAACTGATCAATAAATATATGAAAAAGTGTTCAACATCTCTAGCAATTACAGAAATGCAAATCAAAACTACTCTAATATTTCATCTAAATCCTGTCAGAATGGCAATCATCAAGAATACAGGCAACAATAAATGTTGGCAAGGATGTGGTGAAAAAGGTATACTCATACATTGCTGGTGGGACTGCGAAGTGGTGCAACCACTATGGAAAGCAGTATGGAGATTTCTCTGAAAATCAGGAATGGAACCACCATAAGACTCAGTATCCCACTCCTTGGTTTATATCCAAAGGACTTAAAAATCAGCATACTATAGTGATTCAGCCACATCAATGTTTATAGAATCTCAATTCACAATAGCTAAACTATGGAACTAACCTAGGTGTCCCGCAGTAGATGAATGGATAAAGAAAATGTGAATATTTTCAATGGAATATTACTCAACTTTAAAGAAGAGTAAAAATATGAAATTTGCCAGTAAATGGTTGGAGTTGGAGAATATCACACTAAGCGAAATAAGCCAATCCCACAAAACCAAAGGCCAAATGTTCTCTCTAATATGCAAATGCTAATGCACAGTAAGGCCTGGGGAGGGTGGGGTCAGGAAAGAATAGAGTTACCTTAGATTAGGTAGAGGGAAGTAATGGGAGGGGAGGGGAGGTGATATTTGGATAGGAAAGATAGTAGAATTAAGCAGACATTATTACTATATGTGTATATGTGATGGCCTGACCAATATGATTCTGCATCCTGTACACTCAGAAAAATAAGAAATTATATCCCATCTATGCGTGCTATATCAAAGTGCATAAATGCATTCTACTATCATGTATAACTAAATAAAACTAACAAACAAATAAATAAAACTGAGAATAACATTTAACCAAACATCTGGGCATCCTGTGACCTAGTCAGTTTGACACATAAAATTAATCATCACTAGGATAATATTTACTTGGTCATATATTATCCTTTTCGTTTTAATACGTTACAATATTCAGTTTACTATTTTTAAATTTATGTAGATGACTGAAATTATAATCTTCCTTTTTTATAATCTTTTTTCTGATTTTTTTTTTTTTTTTTTTATGTGTGGTGCTGGGGATTAAACCCAGGGCCTTGTGCATGCAAGGCAAGCACTTTGCCAACTGAGCTATATCCCCAGCCCGCTCTTTTTCTGATTTTGATACCAAGGGTACACTAGCCTCAAAAAGTGAGTTTGATAGTGTTTCCATTCTCTGAAAGAGTTGTGTAAAGTTAGAATGACCTAGTTTTGCAAATTGGGTAAAACATAACAAGCGAGGAAATGTTTATTTTATTTACTGATAGACTTTCTTTAAATTTATAGGACTAATCAAGTATTCTGTTTCTTCCTTGTTGGTTTGGTTTTGGTTATTTATATTTCCTAGAAATTTATCCCTTTCACTACAGTATCCAAATTTTTGGCAGAGCTTTGGTCATGATAGTCTCTTATTATCCATGGTTTGTTATGGTTGATTTTTTCAGATATGTTGTTGAACACATTTTTTTTCAAGCAATAGAAAATTTATTTGCTTATAGTTCTAAAGTCTGCAAAGTCCAAGAGAACACAATTATTTTAGCTTCATGAACTCTGCTCTTAAATTCATTAAGTTCTTATCCTTTAAACATTGTAATAAAATATACATGACATAAAATTTACCATTTAACTCTTTCTAAGTAAACAGTTAATAACATCACATGTATTCACAGTATCATGCAGCTATCTCCACTGTCCTTTGCCAGAAATTTTCGTCATCCTAAACCAGAAATTCTGTTCTCATTAAGCAATAACTCTTCATTTCTCTGCTTTCCTCCATTTTATTTTCTGTCTCTATGAATTTTCCCATTCTATATATCTTATATAAAAAAGATTATCCAATATGTGCCCTTTTGCATCTGATTTTTTTCACTTAACATAGTATTTTCAAGTTTGACTTATGCATCATTATGTTCCAGATCTTTGTTTTCACGGCTGAATAATTTTCCAGGAAATATATGTACTAGGTTTTGTTCATCCATTCATACATATATGGACACTTCAGTTGTTTCCACATCTTTGCTGTTGTGAATAATATGAATACTATTGTGCAAGTAGCTTTTGAAACTCCGTTCTGTTTTCCTGTGTTACAAAGGACTGGAGTTGCTGGGTTATACAATTTCTGTGTTTAATATTTTTAAGTTTCCCCTTACTTTTTTCCCAGAGCTGCCACACAATTTTATATCACATCAGCAATGTGGAAGATTTTCAATTTCTTCACATCCAGCCTATTTTTAAAAAGGATGATTAAACTATCTTTTCTCCAGTGAATATTTTTGGCACCTTTGTCTAGTCTGATGTAACTCTATTTATGTGGGTTTTTCTCTGTGTCTTCTATTCTTTACCATTTGTCTACAAGTTTGTTTTTGTGCYGATACCATGCTGTTTTTGTAATCATAGCTGTGTAGTATATTTAAGTTCTGGTATTGTGATGTAACTGGATACAATATCTTTATTTTTTTTATTAATTTTTATGTGGTTCTGAGAATCGAACTTAGTGCCTCACACATGCTAGGCAAATCCTCTGCCACTGAGCCATAGCCCCAAGCCCCTCTCCCATTAATTTTTAAAATGCTATTATCATATTTTTTATTTATATTTCTCCTTGGTGTTTTTAAAAATATAACTAACCAATGTGTTGTATTTGTTCCTATGTGTTCTTTTCATGTTTTAAACATGAGTTATATAGTTAATTTATTATTTAATTTTTCAGGCATGTTTAGCTTTATGGGTCTGTTTCTGCCATTTGTTGCTTCTGCTCACTTTCATTTATGATGATTTATTTCCTAGTATATGTTGTAAATCATAAGTTTGAAGTAATGATCCTTGATATGTCCTCAATGGGAATGCTTTCAGGTGTTTGTTTAAATGTGTTCTTCAAGGAATACTGCTAGGTATCTATGAGTGCTATCAATAAAATCACTTTAAACTAATTTTGTTTTTGCTTTATTAGTCTATATGGGTATCAAGTATTCTGATATTATGAAAGTTGAATTTATGGTTAACAATTCTTAGGGAAGATTTGTATTTCTTCAATGCAGAGCCTCTATAGGTAAAGTACATTTTGTTTTGTGAGCGGAATTGAACCCAGGACCCCCTTTACCATTTAGCTGCATCTCTGGTCTTTTTTTTTTTTTTTTTTTTTGAGACAGGATCTCACTGAATTCCTGAGGCCGGCCTTGAAGTTATTATTCTCCTTTCTAATCCACTTGGGTTGATGGGATTATAGGCTCTTGCCACTGTGCCCTGCTTCAGTTTAAGTACATCATTAAAATGGATGGTTGCCTAGTTCATTTTTCACTAAAAATGTTACTTACCATAACTGACTGTTATTTCTTCAATGCAGAGCCTCTGTTAAAGTAGTACATTTTGTTTTGTGAGCGGAATTGAACCCAGGACCCCCTTTACCATTTAGCATCTCTGGTCTTTTTTTTTTTTTTTTTTTTTTTTGAGACAGGATCTCACTGAATTCCTGAGGCCGGCCTTGAAGTTATTATTCTCCTTTCTAATCCACTTGGGTTGATGGGATTATAGGCTCTTGCCACTGTGCCCTGCTTCAGTTTAAGTACATCATTAAAATGGATGGTTGCCTAGTTCATTTTTCACTAAAAATGTTACTTACCATAACTGACTGTTATCTTTTCAACTTTATAGTAGATTTGCTAACTATACCTCTTACCTTACTTGGAAATCCTGGGACTCCTTTCTTTTCTATATATTGAATACCATGCTAGTTCAATTCAGGCTGTGATTTGCTGTCAAAGGAGTCTTATTCAATTTGGGTTTAGAGTACTTATTCTTTGGAACTATACTTTGACATCTTACCTGACTTCTGTTTTGTCTTTTCTACTGCTACTTAAGACATGCTTTGAATCAAAGATTTTAATTCATGATTTTGCATTTGAAATGATTTTTACCTGGAGGCAGTCTCTGCACATCTTGTCTACTGTATGAAAGTAAGAAGTCTTTTAAGACCAATTTGTAATCCTGTTTGTAATTGTAAACCATTATTGATGTCATTTTCATAGCAATTTTCAGTTTTTCTTATATCACATGTTTTAATAACTTTTTATGTGGCTATTTTACTTGGSTATTGATGATTTGGATGTGAAATAACTTTTGGTTGTCTCTTTTCTGAAGTAGTTGTTTTTTAGCTTGCATTTTGACACAGTAAAAGCCATTTTAACATACTATACAAATCAAGAAATAGTGTAGATAATATTGCACTCTTCCTTGGAAATGACACTTTGTGTAAGAAACATTAACTTTCTCAATAAAAACTTTTGTATCCTTAGATCATTTGCAGCAAGAATTTGTATTCTCTTTATTTAACTGATTCTTAAAATACACATATAATTCACTTTTTGCCATTCTTCATTTACTATTCTTAGTATTAGTATGTTTATATTTCTTTTTATTTTGCAGGTTTTCTTTAGGTGATGCTAGGAGGCCTCTTTATGAAACAGCAGTTTTGGTAGAAGATGTGGTGCACACTCAGTTAATTAATCTGGTAAGAGCATATATAACTTTATTTGGTATGCACTTATAATCTATTTGGTATGTCTTCTCTAAATGCTGCTTATGTTGGGATTGCAACTCAAATAAAAAGTTTAAAATTTTTTTCTTTTTAAATCAGTAATTTTTTCACATTTTTATTGAGATATAATTTTATTGTATTTACTTGTTTAAGTGTATAATTTGATGAGTTTTGACTATGTGTTATTGTCATTAACTATCAGAACAATCATAATACAGAAATTTTTCACCACCTAAAAACAATCCCTTGTTTCCCTGTGCAGTTAGGTTTTTCATTCCAACTTCAGGTACTTAGCACCCAATGATCTACTTTTTTTCCTTTAAATTTCTAGGAATAGTTATTGAATGGGCTTCTTTTTAAATGTTTTTTATTCTGATTAGTTCTACACGACACATTTTGACACATCATACATAAATGGAGTATAACTTATTTTTCTTGTTGTACATGATGTAGAATTATACAGGTCTGGTAATCATATATGCATACAGGGTAATAATGTCCATTTCATTCTACTATCATTTTCCCCCCATGACCCCTCCTCTTCATTAGTTCCCCCTTCTAATCCTAAGTACCTATATTGTACCCCTCCCCACCCCCCCACAGTTGTGAATTAGCATCCTCATATCAGAGAAAACATTCAGCCTTTTATTCTTTGGGATTGATTTATTTCAATTAGCATAATATTCTCTAATTCCATCCATTTACTGGCAAATGCCATAATGTCATTCTTCTTTAAGACTGGTATTAGTCCATTGTATATATTCCACAATTTTTTTATGCATTCATCTGTTGAAGGCACCTAGTTTGGTACCATAGTTTAGCCATTGTAAATTGAGCTTCTGTAAACATTGATGTGGCTACATCACTGTAGTATGCTAATTTTAAGTCCTTTGGGTATAAACTGAAGAAATATAACTAGGTCAAATGGTGGTTCATTCCAAGTTTTCTGAGGAATCACTGTACCACTTTCCATAATGGTTGCACCAATTTGTAGTACCACCAGCAATGTATAAATGTACCCTTTTACCCTACATCCTTGTCAACATTTACTGTTGTTTGTATTCTTGGTATTTGCCATTCTGACTGGATGAGACAAAGTTAAGTGTATTTCTGATTTGCATTTCKCTAATTGTTACAGATGATGAATATTTTTTCATATGGTTGTTGACCAATTGTATTTCTTCTTCTGGGAAGTATGTATTTAGTCCTTTGTCTATTAATTGATGAATTTTCTTTTTTGGGGGGGGTTGTTGTTGTTTGGTTTTAATTTTTTTGAGTTCTGTATATATCCTGGAGATTAATTCTCGTATGTGTGATAAAGATTTTTTCCCATTCTATAGTCTCTGTCTTCATGTTATTGATTGTTTCCAACTATGAAGAAGTTTTTAAATTTGATTCCATCCCATTTATTGATTCTTGACTTTACTTCTTATGCTTTTGGACTCTTGTTGAGGAATTTGGTTCCTAAGCTGACATGGTGGAAATTTGGGCCTACTTTTTCTTTTCGTAGGTGCATGGTTTATGTTTTGGTTCCTAAGTTCTTGATCCACTTTGATTTGATTTTTGGGCAGGGTGAGAGACAGGGATTTAATTTCATTTTGCTACATATTGATTTCTAGTTTTACCAGCACCATTTGTTGAAGATGCTATTTTTTCTCCAGTGCATGTTTTGGCACTACCATGAGATAACTGTGTTGATGTAGGTTTGTCTCTGTGTCTTCTATTCTTTCTATACCATTGTTCTGTGTATCTCTTTGGTGCTAGTACCATGCTGTTTTTGTGACTATGGTTCTATAGTATAATTTAAGGTCTGATATTGTGCCTCCTGCTTCACTCTTCTTGGTGAGAATTGCTCTGGCTATTCTGGGTCTGTTATTTTTGAATAACATGAAATCATGAATTTCATGATTGCCTTTTCTATTTCTATGAAGAATGTCATTTGGATTTGAATAGAAATTGCATTAAATCTGTATCATGCTTTTGGTAGAATGGCATTTTGACAATGTTAATTCTGCCTATCCAAGACCAAGGGAGATCTTTGCATCTTCTAAGGTCGTCTTCAATTTCTTTCTTTAGTGTTTTGTATTTTTCATTGTAGAGGTCTTTCACTTCTTTGGTTAGGTTGATTCCCAAGTATTTTATTTTATTTTTTTTGAGGCTATTGTGAATGGGGTAGTTTTCCTAATTTCTCTTTAAGTATATTCATCACTGATATATAGGAACACATTTGGTTATGGGTGTTAATTTTATATCCTGCTACATGAAGTAGCAGGATATAAGTTTAGCTCTAGTAGTTTTCTGGTGGAATTTTTTGGATCTTCTAAATATAGAAAAAAATACTTATACAGGTAAATGAGAACAATGATACAACATAACAAAATCTCTAGGACACTCTGAAGGCAGTGCTGAGAGGAAAATTCATTGCATTGAGCTCATTCAATAAAAGAATAGAAAGTCAGTGAATAAATAAATGACCTAACGTTATATCTCTTAGCCCTAGAAAAGGAAGAAATCAATGCCAATAGCAGTAGAAGATAAGAAATAATTTTAAAAAGAGCTGAAATCAATGAAATTGWAACAAAAGAAAAAATTCAAAAATTGACAAAACAAAAAGTTTGTTCTTTAAAAAAATAAATAATATTGATAATCCTTTAGCACACTAACAAAGAGGAGAGAGAAAACTCAAATTACTAAAATTTGTGATGAAAAAGGAAATATCATGATAGACACTTTTAAAATACAGAAAATAATTACAATCTATTTTGAAAATTTATACTCCAATAAAATAGAAAATCTCAAAGGCATCGACAAATTTCTAGAGACGAATGAACTACCGAAACTGAATGAAGAGGACATATACAAATTAAACAGATCAATTTTAAGCAATGAAACAGAAGAAACCATCACATGCATACCAGCACAGAAAAGTCTGATGGATTCTCAGCCGAGTTTTACAAGACCTTCAAAGAAGAATTAGCACCAGTATTTCCCAAATTATTCCATGAAACAGAAAAGGAGGGAGCCCTTCCAAAGTTATTTTATGAAGCTAGTATATCACCTGGATAACAAAACCAAACAAAGACACTCCAAGGAAAGGAAACTTGAGACCAATATCCCTGATGAATATAGATGCAGAAATTCTCAATAAAATTCTGGCAAATTGCATACCAAAAACATATTAAAAAGATAGTGCACCCTGATCGATGGGACTCATCCCAGGGTTGCAAGATTGGCTCAATATATGGAAATCAATAAATGTAATTCATCACATCAATAGACTTAAAGAATCTTATGATCATCTCAATAGATGCAGAAAAAGCATTTGACAAAATACAGTACCCCTTTCATGTTAAAACACTAGAAAAACTAGAGATAGTAGGAACATGCCTCAACACAGTAAAAGCTATCTATGCTAAACCCAAGGCCAGCATCATTCTAAATGGAGAAAAATTGCTCTAAGAACTGGAACTAGATAAGGATGCTCTCTTTTACCATTTTTATTTAACATTTCCCTTTAAACTCTAGCCAGAGCAATCAGACAGACAATAGAAATTAAAAGGATATGAATAGAAAATGAAGAACTCCAGCGATTACTATTTGCTGATGACATGATTCTGTATTTAGAAAATCCAAAAAATTCCACCAGTGATCTAGTTTCTGTCATTTTATCACTATACTTTTTTTCTTTTAGAATTATTATAATATTTTTTATTTTGAATTTTGTTATAAAAAATTTTATAATTTGTACTAAGAATGCCCAGATATCCTTCAGTTTTCTTTAATGTTAGCATCTTTTCTGATTATAATATGATGATGAAACCAGGATATAACTTAATTATAATACTATCTATCCATATTACTTGAATTTCATTCATTTTCCCTCTGTTCTATGTCCCGTTTTATGTTCTATGACCCAATCCAGGATACCATGGTACATTTACATATTATGTCTTTATGACTTCCTATGATAGTTTATTAGTATTCCATTTTTTTCATATCTTTAGTATTTTTGCAAACTACTGGTTATTTATTTTATAGAATGCTTTTATCTTTCTGTTGTTGCAGTGTTTTCTTATGATTAGAATGAGGTTATGAATTTTTGGTAAGGTTACCACAGAAGTGACAGATCCTTCTTAGTATACTTATTGAAGGGGTTCATGTTATTGATACGATATATTTGTGATATTAGATTTGGTAACTTATTTAAGGTGGTGATGCTGAGTTTCTACACTGTAAAGCCACATTTTTTTTTTTTTTGGTGTGTGTGTGTGTGTGTGTGTGCTTGGATTTAACTCAGGGCTCTCGACATGCTAAATATGTGTTCTTCTCATCTTACTGTGTTTTTTTAAAAAAAAATTATTGGTGAAATAGAATTATACATACAAGCATACTTCATTGTGATATGCTCATATGGCCTGTTTAATTCCACTGTACCTCCTTTTCCCCTCCCCTTTTACTTCTCCCTGATATCCATTCTCTGCTTTGCTGATCTCCCTTTTGTTTTCATGAGATCCCCTTTTCTCTCAGTTTCCATATGTAAGAAAACATAATGACCTTTGTTTTGTGTTTGGCTTATTTTGTGTAACATGATGTTCCTTCCATTTTCTTGCAAAAGAYAGAGTTTTATTGTACTTTATGGTTGAATACAACTCTTCTATATATGTATACATATATACTACATTTTTTCCCGATTCATCATGATCATCTGTTGATCTAGGTGTCCACGTGGCCTAGTTCCATAGTTTGACTATTGTGAATTGTGCTACTGTAAACGTGGGTATGCATGTACCATTTAATACTGTGGTAGATGACTTTACTCCTTTAGGATAAATTCTAAAGAGTGGTATATCTGGGTCATATGGTGGTTCATGCCTAGTCTTTTGAGGAACTTCATTCTGCAGTCTTCTTGCTACTGTTTACTTTCCGAATTTAAAGATATCACATGTATTCTGTGATATTCTTTGTCTTCAGTT